CAAGGTGAGCCTACATATACATCACCTTCTTTAGATAAAGGTTCTATATATTGCTTCTTATACACTTCTCTCGCAGTAAGAGAAGATTCACATTTAACCCAACTCAGCATTTCTAAAAAGGGTTTTGGGAACTTTGGGCCTTTTATTTTAGGATGGTTGGGGGTATTATTATTTTTTTGTTGGATTTTTTCCGCAATAGATGGGTCGTTAAAAATTTCTCCTCTTTCATCTCTATTTTGCTGAAAGCATTTCACAATGAACAAACCATCATAACATGTGCGACTGAACCACCACTGATCCTTGTCATGTGTGTGTTTACAAATTGAACATTCTAGATATGCTTTCCAATTAAAATATATAAAATACTGAGAATCTTTTTCTTCAATATCCCACCTTCCAAGATAATCAGAATATTTTTGCAGAACTAGATTAGCATATTTTTTTAGTGAATCTTGACCAACGATTATTTTTTTCTGATTTATTTTCTTTACACTAAGTATGCAAGGACGTACTTCTAAATTCATATTAATTGGTGGTTGAACTTGGCTGTCATTGAGATTGCACCACCCATTATCTAGTGAGTATTGGAGAATGCACTTCACGTGATCTTTTTTTGCTGAACCTATTAAGCAGAGACAGAAATTTCGATCAGGTAACCCTTTATCAATAAACTTACCATATTTTTCTTCTGTTAATCTGTATACTAATTCTGTAAATTCTTTGAGCTTCTGATAATCAACAAGAAGAGTTGGAGTGTATAGAAGGTGATAACTGCATTTACTATCATTAGATGATGTCATAATTACCAATCCTTTAATAATTTCTTCCTAACTACAATCAAGAATTTGATACAATGCTCTTACAAATGAACAAGAAATATTAAAAATCACATTTTTAGTATTAATGTTTTCAGCTTCTATTTTTTCTTTAGATGCGTCAATATCAATCATAGCTCTTAAAGGCTGTTGTTCGTTAATACATTCATGAATTCCAGGTAACTCATATATCTCAGATATATTATCTATGATGGAGAACTTTGGTGCTTGTTTATTTTTTTGGTCAATTTGGATAATCAATCTATTGGTTAACTCCTTTCATGTATATGCATCAAGTAGACTAATTCCTTCTTTTGCTCCGTAATTAGGTAAGAGATAATCCTATAAATGTATATCTTCTAATAATCCTTTATTGTTCGACATATCTCTGGCAGGTGAAGAAACAATTTTACAATTTTTATTCATCACATCTTTTTTGGTAAATTTATCATTGAATCTTTCTTGCTGTTTAGTATATGTGGGACTCGCTTGCTCTGTGGATGATGTCATATTAGACACTTGTTCTTCTACTTTA